CTGTTCCTGGCGGTGTCCTTGTGTTTCGATTGGTTGTTTCTGCACATCTGACTGATGCGGCTCCGTCGGTTGTGCTGATGGGGTCTGCAACTGACTGTCATCCTCGCTCGTCTCTTGATGCCGCTGGTCCGTGAATGATTTCAAGTGGATTTGGTTTACTTGTCGCTTGTGCACAGTAGCATCGTTCAGATGCGGGTCGCAAATCGTTACCGCGGAAGTATTCGACGTCACTGGAGTCGAGGCACTTTAGGGAGGATCGCAAGCTTCTGGATTTAAAAAGCATTGCCGGGCTCTCCTTGGTGGTTGTATGTGTTGCGTTTCGGTATTGGAGTAGGAAGTTATCCACCTACGTTTCCAACTCATGTAGCGTTTTAGGATTGGCAGGCGCAATTACAATCTTGACAGTTTTGCCTAGATTCTCTGCCGCTCCGTTCGAACAGGGGTGACGAGGCGCAGTTCGAAGCTGTCGGCAACCGATGCTGTCCACCCAAAGATTCATTTCGGTCGCACAGAACTGAGATCCATTGTCCATCACAAGCACTTGTGGAATCCCTTCGCGACTAAAACATTTCCGTAGAACTTGTATCACAAATGATGTGGTAGGTGTAGTCTTAAAGTTTACCTCTGGCCATTTGGAGTATGAATTGATCAGGACAAGGGCATATTACCGGTTCAGAAATGGACCACAGGAATCGAAATGAACCCTTTGCTATGGTATATAACTTTCCGGCCATGGTGTCCAGTTTTTCGGTCTTGTTGGTAATTTATGTAAACATGACTCACAGTTCTTGGCTGTTGCGTAAATGTCTGTGTCCAAATCCGGCCATCAACACATCTGTCGAACCAATGATTTCATCTTCTCCACACCCATATGTCCTTTATGTAATTCTTCTAGTAATGTCTTCCGTAGTGGCGGTGGGATTACCAATCGATCGGCGCGACATAATACACCATCCAATTGTGCTGACAACTCCTCTCGATGAGCAAAGAATTGAGGATACTTNGGATACTTTCTCTTTACCTCTGGTGACCATCCTTTCTTGATCGCTGAGAGTATGGCTGAGTAGTACTGTTTGGTAGGTTTGCGTAAAGATTCCCGAGACACTGGTGATGCTGGAGAGATGAAATGACACTGTTCGGTCTCAGAAAATCCTGAGTAGCGAGAGAGGAAATCAGCCTGCGGGATTGTCTTTCCTGGACAGTGTGGGATGTCATAGTTATATGCGGCTAGAGCGATACTCCACCTCTGTAGCATAGCAGCAGTGGACTTCGCGATGGATTTGTTGGGGCTGAACAAGAACTGTAGCGCTTGGTGATCAGTGATGATAGTAGACCGCAATCCGAAAAGGTACTTGTGCAATCGGCGAACAGCCCAAAATACAGCCAACGCTTCTTTTTGAGTCTGTGAGTATCCCTTTTCTGCCGCAGTGAGTAGACGTAAAATGCAGATCACTGGGCATCCTTCTTGTTCTAATACAGCACCGATTCC